ACATTACTCCCCCTCCCTGTCTCTCGTTCCCTCAGCATCATTCTGAGCTTCATCTCCTCGGCTGGAATCACACAAGATGCATCTGTAGAATGAAAATCACTCTATTGGATTTTCTGAGGATTTTCCTTGCACCGGATCTTAGGAAAGATGCTGGAAACGGACTGTGAACGGAGATGGGATGAGAGCTGTTAAATCAACATGTTGAGGACAAACCGGACCTTAGTGATGAGAAGTTAAGAAGCGGACACCCATCGCCCGTCATTCCAGCTGCGCGTTTCGAAGCTCTTCATGTCGTGAATAACTGACGCTCCGTTAGGACTCTCGTTTTTGGACGGTCTCGGTGTTGTTATGTGGTCTAATTGTGCGGTTATGTAACTCTTAAGTGCTTTCCGTGGTAAGAAACACGAGTCTATCGGTATCGCTCATGCTCCGGTGCATGCCTGCACGAGAGACGCGTGCGCGCTCGCTCCCTCGCGCCGGTGGTCTGCACCGTGAATCTGCACCGAATCTGCACGATCGTCACCGGACCCGCGTCCCTCGCTCTCCCGTGAGATGGCCGCGGCGATCGCCAGCTCGCTCATCCGACAGAAACGGCAGGCGCGCGAGTCAAACAGCGAGCGAGCCGTGTCCGGTAAGCGCCGCTCCAGTCCCTGTAAAGAACCCTCCGGCCGAAGCTCCCTGTGCGATCGGCACCTGTTCGGACTCTTCGGTAAAGTCCGGTTCTGCAGCGGGAAAAAACGACCCGTGCGCCGGAAACCAGGTCAGTTCATTCACACCTGTGCGCAGCGCGTGACGATCACCTGTGCGTGCTGACAACAGCGAATGAGAGTTTGCGTCGCTGCTTATGCTACACTCTGTTACTGTTTGTTAGATTTTGCGTGATTGTTTATTGATTAGGCTACTTTGGTGACTGCATTAAAATTCATAATGCAAAACAGGAAGTTTATGCACGCTAAATACAAATATGTGACCCTGGACCACAGAACCATTCATAAGGGTCAATTTTTCTAAATTGAGATTTATAAATCTGAATAAATAAGCTTTCCATTGATGTATGGTTTGTTAGGATCAGACAATATTTGGCTGAGATACAACTATTTGAAAATCTGGAATCTGAGGGTGCAAAAAAATCTAAATATTGAGAAAATCATCTTTAAAGTTGTCCAAATGAAGTTCTTAGCAATGCATATTACTAATCAAAAATTACGTTTTGATATATTTACAGTAGGAAATTTACAAAATATCTTCATGGAACATGATCTTTACTTAATATCCTAATGATTTTTGGCATAAAAGAAAAATGGATAATTTTGACCCATACAATGTATTGTTGGCTATTGCTACAAATATATCTGTGCTACTTATGATTGGTTTTGTGCTCCATGGTCATATATATGATTGTTTTATTGATAACTTTGATTGCATTATATTGTTTAACAAGTAGTTTATGTACAATTGATAGATAGATAGATAGATTACAATAAATACCTTAAAATATTAAAAGTGTATATACAATATCAGATAAAATTTAAATAAATGTATAATAAAAACAAAGGTTAGATATAAAATATTTGTCTGTTAATATCATTGAATATATGATTTTTTTAATGATAACTTTCACAATGAACACTTTAAAATATGAATATAGATTGAAAATATGAATAGTTATACAATATTAGACATTAATCTAGTTAAATATACAGTAGTCAACATTTGAAGTGAATCAAAAAAGTTCATCAAAGTTGTGCTACAAGAACGGGTATTGTTTTGGTTTTAGGACAACTTTGAAAGGTTTTGATCCATTCAAATGTTGACTATATATATATATTCGTGCATTAACATTTTAATGCTTAACAGGTAGTGAATGTGCTTCACATACAAATGATAACTACATACATACAAATATATGTGAACATAATTTAAATATGTATTGAGTTTGAACTTTAAATTTTTCATTTCAATAATCATTAAATAATGCCACAATGCTTGATGTTATTAATAAATGTCATTATAAAGTGTGACCGTGAACTGCAGCATGTTACTTTATTCTGAATGGTTACAGGTGTGTCTTTGCAATTAAACTTCAAATGAATTCAATTAAATTCAAGATCATTTTAATAGCACTTTTCACATATTAGCACTTTTTTTTTTACATGTTGCTTTAAAGCAGCTTCACAGAAAATGCTACATTTCAATGTTACAATCAGAAACTATTCTGTTGTAAATTAAACATGCATATTAAAGCTGACAAACTCTATTCTGTTCAGTTCAGTTCGGCTTGTTTATGATGTCTGTATCATTCTCCTCTCTCTGTTCATGCTGGTCGACTGAGCTCTTCTAAAATGAGAAATATAGTACAAGACAAGTGTGTCTGTAATTCAAATTTCATTGGTCTTTTTATAGCGCGTGACCTTTTTTAATACTAAATATTGGGTCAAAACACTTGAAAACATGCTGGGAGTGAGACAGTGTCACAGATGTCAGAGCAGAAGGGGAGCCGGTTTACTAACATAATTAGCAAGGTACTGAAACAATTGACACATTTTAATTGGTTAGCAGCACTTGCGGTTTCGGTAACATGACAGGTTCCTTTTTTAATTCATTAATTTTGAACAATACGAAGCATTATATGACAGTTCAGCATGCATTATGATGCATCCGTCCCATTCAAAACCTGCGCTTGTTTGCTTGCATGATTGGTTTAGAGTGGTTTATTTAAAGGTTTTAAGAAGGGTTTTGCATTTTAAGTTTCATAAAAACATGTTGTGTTGTCTAGCTCTTCATTATCGGATCAGAAGAACCTGTAATGTAACATCTGAGACTTTATAATATCCAAAGAGCCATGTAGCTCAACTCAAACTTGCTACAAAGAAGCAGTTTCTGAGAGTGCTGATGGTGTGCAGGTTTTGCGGTTGTGTTTTTGTGACGTGTTTGTGTTTGTGCCGTGTGTTTCAGAGCCTCAGTTGAAGGGGATAGTGACCAGGCTCTTCAGCGAGCAGGGCTTCTACTTGCAGATGCAGCCAGACGGAACCGTCAGCGGGTCCAAAGATGAAAACAGCGACAACAGTGAGTCTCTCTCTCTGTTCCCTCTGTGTCAGAAACTGATACACTCTGAAATCCAAAAAGGAAATAAAAGATGATTTGGATTTTAAGGGTGTTGATGCTGATCTTAATGTTCCATTCACTCTTCACTTTTGCATATATATATATATATATATATATACTACTGTTCAAAAGTTTGGGATCAGTAAGATTTTTTAGGTTTTTTAAAGATGTTTCGTATGCTCATCAAGGCTGTGTTTATTTGATAAAAAATACAGAAAAAAAACTTAGTATTGTGAAATATTATTACGATGGAAAATTGCATTTTTTAAATTTTAATATACATTAAAAATCGAATTTATTCCTGTGATCAAAGCTGAATTTTCAGCATCATTACTCCAGTCTTCAGTGTCACATGATCCTTCAGAATCATTCTAATATGCTGATTTATTATCAATGTTGGAAACTGTTGTGCTGCTTAATGTTTTTTTGGAACATGTGATACTTTTTTTCAGGATTCTTTGATGAATAAAAAGTTAGAAAAGTATCAGATTCCAAAAAAAATATTTGGCAGCACAACTGTTGATAATTCTAATAATAAATCAGCATATTATACTGATTTCTGAAGATCATGTGACACTTTATACTGGAGTAATGATGCTGAAAATACAGCTTTGATCACAGAAATAAATTACATTTTAAAGTATGTTAAATAGAAACCATTATTTTATATTGTAATAACATTTCACAATATTACTGTTTTTTTTTCTGTATTTTTGATCAAATAAATGCAGCCTTGGTGAGCAGAAGAGACTTACATAAAACATTACAAGTCTTACAGTAGTGTAAGAACAGTGTACTAGAACAGTAGTGTGTGTATATATATATATATATATATTGTCTTAGTAAGTTGATATTAATATTTAGTTTTATGATCCAAGCCCTGTAGTTTCAAAACATATACAGGTACATCTAAAAAAATTGGAATATCATGGAAAAGTTCTTTATTTTTTGTAATTTAATTTAAAAAAGCTTACTTTGTTACATTCTAGATTCATTGCACACAAACTGAAATATTTAAAGAGTTTTTTTGTTTTAATTCCGATGGTTACGACTTACAGCTTAGTAAATTTAAAAATTCAGTATCTCAAAAAATTAGAATATTCCATTTTGAGCTTGATTAGTTTAATTAATTTTGAGTATTAATACTGGGTACCTCCTGGGCTAGTTTAGAACATGCAGCCACAATTATGAGGAAGACTACTGACTTGACAGTTGTCCAGAAGACGATCATCGACACCCTCCACAAGGAGCGTAAGCCACAGAAGGTCATCGCTGAAAGGGCTGGCTGTTCACAGAGTGCTGTATCGAAATATATTCATAGAAAGTTGACTGGAAGGAAGAAGTGTGGTAGGAAAAGGTGCTATTTCAATAGTTTTTTTGTTTTAATTCTTATGGTTATGACTTAGGAAATTAAAAAATTCAGTATCTCAAAAAATTTTATTTCATTTTGAACTTGATTAGTTTGATTAATTTTGAGTATAAATACTGGGTACCTCCTGGGCTAGTTTAGAACATGCAACCACAATTATGGGGAAGACTACTGACTTGACAGTTGTCCAGAAGACGATCATCGACGCTCCACAAGGAGGGTAAGCCACAGAAGGTCATCGCTGAAAGGGCTGGCTGTTCACAGAGTGCTGTATCGAAATATATTCATAGAAAGTTGACTGGAAGGAAGAAGTGTGGTAGGAAAAGGTGCACAAGCAACAGGGATGACCGCAGCCTTGGGAAGATTGTCAGGAAAAGCCGATTGAAGAACTTGGGAGAGCTTCACAAGGAGTGGACTGAAGCCGGAGTCAGTGCATCAAAAGTCACCACACACAGATTCAGGAAATGGGCTACAGCTGTCACATTCCTAGAACCAAGCCACTCACCTGGGGCTAAGGAGAAAAAGAACTGGACTGTTGCTCAGTGCTCCAAAGTCCTCTTTTCAGATAAAAGTGAATTTAGCATTTCATTTGGAAATCAAGGTCTGGAGTCTGTAGGAAGACTGGAGAGGCACAGAATCCAAGCTGCTTGAAGTCCAGTGTGAAGTTTCCGAAGTCAGTGATGATTTGGGGTGCTGTGACGTCTGTTGGTGTTGGTCCATTGTGTTTTATCAAGTCCAAAGTCAATGCAGCCGTCTACCAGGAGGTTTTGGAGCACTTTATGCTTCCATCTGCTGTCAAGCTTTATGGAGATGCTGATTTCCTTTTCCAGCAGGACTTAGCACCTGCCCACAGTGCCAAAACCACTTCCAATTATATTACTGTGCTTGATTGGCCAGCCAACATGCCTGACCTGA